CAGAAGTGGTGCTGTGGCTCAAGTGGTAGAGCACTAGCCTTGAGCTGAAGAGCTGAGGGTCAGTTCCCAGGTCCAGAGTTCAGGCCCCACAACTGACCAAAAAAAAAAAAAAAAAAAAGCTTTCCTAGGCTGGAAATCTTTGTATGATGCTTGCTACTCCCAAAGCCCATTGCCTAGTCCCTGTTGCCTCCTGCTCCCCATACCTGCTGCTTCCATTCAGGGCTGATGCTCCGGCAGTACTTCCATACCATGTTCTTCATGCACAACTCTCGCAAAAGCTCTGAGGCCTGTATGGAGAGTGAAGTTAGAGCATGTACCTGGCCTGGCTCCCTTCCCTCTTAAGACCTACAATGGATTCCCACTATCAGGTATTTATTTATTTTAGTCACTGAGCTTGAACTCTGGGCCTGGGCGCTGTCCCCTGAGCTTTTCAGCTCATCAGCTCAAGGCAAGTGCTCTACCGTTTGAGCCACAGCACCACTTCTGGTGGTTAATTGGAGATAAGAGTCTCACAGACTTTCCTGCCTGGGCTGACTTTGAACCTCAATCCTCAGATCTTGGCCTCCTGAGTAGCTAGGATTATAGGCATGAGCCACTGGTACCCAACGCCCTCACCAGGTCTTTGCAGCAACAAAAAATCCCCCATTACCTCCACCTGGAGAGCCTTTCTGACTCAGCCATTTCTCCTCAGAAAACTTTTTACAAACCAATTCTACTTCTTCTTCCTTCTGAGTCCTCCCTTTCTGCCCCTCTGCCAACACGATAATCAGTCCCCTTTGAGGAGTACTCTCATAATCTCAAACTCAGCAGGGTGGACCCACAGACCTCACGAAGGGCAGGTGGGGGCGTGGGCCATGAAGTGTCTAGAACATTCCGGGGCAACTGCCGCCGCAGGTTAAGCAGAAATGAAGTGCGCACATGGTCCAGGAAAAAAGCATTCTCAGGGCAACGGGGCGTGTGGCGTAGGATGAAACCACGGATGAGCCTGTAAGTGGTGGGCCAGGCAAGGTAAGAAGCCTGGCAATGGTCCTCCACACACACCTTGCTCTGCAGCCCCCAACCCTTGCATCTCAGTACTCACTTCCGGATGGTCTGTGCTGCCCACTTCCTCTTGGCTGCTTTCCTCCGGCCTAATGTTCCCCGCCACCATGACTGGATACAAATGGCTGTGAAGACCATAGGTGGTTGGCCTCTATCTCCTTATCATCCCCCTAGTCCCAGACCCTACTGCTCCAAAAACCCTGGGCCCCCAAACCTGATCGTTTCACCCGGAGGAATTTCTGCCGCCAGTGAAAGCCCCTCCATGCAGCCTGGATCTTTGTAGCTGGGGTTGGAAAAGAAAATCAAAGAAGATGAATGTGGGAATAGGATTGGAGTCTGCAGCCAGGGGCCAGGCCTTTGGGCAGGCAGGTGCTGGGGGTGGGAAAGTGAGATGTGGAAGTTGGATGTGGGTGAGTAGCCTCCCAGGCAAAGGAGCCTAAATTCAGTGATTTCTTCCCTACTCCACAGAAAGGACTACCCAGGACAGGAAGGCTAGGCCTCCCTCTTACCCAGGCTCTGCCTCCGGACCTCAAGGGCATCTTCTGTGGCAAACAGTGTCTTGGGGAAACGAATGAAGATCTTGGTCCTGGGAGGGCAGCAGTGATCAGTCTCTGGTTGGCACCCATCACATCCCTCAGATAACAGAGATGAGTACCACTCACCTGCCCATCTTGTACTCTTCTGGTTTATAGCCTAAGTGTCTGACCAGTACAGCTACCCCATCTTGGGGCCGTCCTGTCCATGTGGGCCATGTCTCTGGGCACAGTGACTTGTACCTGGGGAACAGGAGGAGCAGGAATGCATCTGGCCACATTCCAATGTCCTCTTCTGGAGGTCACCATCAGCTTTTCCTGGGCACCTACTGGGTGCTCCCACTGACTTGTTCACAACTCAGAGGTCTAGAGATCCCCATCTTAAAAATAAAGAATGGGCTGGGGGGCTGGGAAGGTGGCTCAGTGGTAGAGCACTTGCCTTGCATGCCTGAGGCCCTGGGTTTGATTCCTCAGCACCACATAAGCAAAAAGAAAAAAG